TGCCTAGAATTTAGTGAGGTTTGCATACCTCAAAAGCTTGGTGCTTGCACACACCATTATTATTCACCGGAGGGGCTTGTAGCATGCGAGACCACACCAACAACGTTTGTGGTGTAGTTGCCATCGTGTACCGGAGGGAACGAGGCCTGCGGCAGTTTGGCTGGAAGCTCGATAATGAAGACAACAGGGAGCAGTCCGGGAGAGGCATGCTGAAGACCCACTTGCGCGTGAGGAACGCCCAAAGCTATCCATGGAGTTAGTCGACCAGGAGCTTGGCCCTTGCGAGGGGCTCCAATGAGGACTAGGGAGAAGCTTGTGCACTTCTCGATACCTTGGTAAAAATACCAGCGTTGTTGAATGAGAGTTTGCATCTATGTTGCCCTTTATCTCCACACTTACATTGTGTACCTTGGTTGTGTGCTTTAGCTTAGCTGTTAGGCTATTTGATCGGATTGCAACCTAAGTTTCATAATTCTTTTTGCGGTTGAGATAGCAACACACCTAACAAAACCGTAGTTGCACATGTAGATAGTTTATCTTCGCATAGGTTTTGCTTAGGTTAAAATTAGAGGTCATAGTTAGGAGTAGATTTTAAGTTGCCTAATTCACCCCCTCTTAGGCGTTACGGTCTCTACAAGTGGTATCAAATCAGGTTGGCTCAATTTGAACCTTTTGGCTTCACCACCGTTGAGCCGATGCTATTTACAGTGGAAAGATAGATACCTCTAGGCCTCCACACTTTTTTTGCGAATTACACAAGTACAGACGCAGACGCTCAACACGCATGCACACTCAACCCTATGAACACACGTGTGCAAACCCTACCCCTATGAGCACCTTTGAAAGACTGTGCCGACACATCTCGAGATTGACGAAGTCACCACAGGCGCCTCGCTATCGATAGGAACATTGCCTACCACTAAAAGCACAACGCCGTTAAATCCTAGAATAAATCTAGGAAAATGTGAGCACCTGTGTAAAGTTGAGGACTTAAACATGGGTTGGCAGGTTCCACTACAAGAAGCCTAACCAAATGAGCTAGGCTCAGTTTGCTCTAGGCCTCCACACTTTGATGGCACTAATTTCCCTTATTGGAGTGCTAGAATTACTTGCTAACTTGAGGCGGTAGATTTGGTTTTTTGGAGTCAACTGTGACGGGATGAAACCCCTAAAGAATCTCAAAAAACCCATGGCGGGTGATGAAAAAAGAAATTCATCTTAATGCAAGAGCTAAAATTTGCCTGTTGAATCTTTGAGCGTGGAAATTTTTAACCTAGTGTTCACCCTTTCTAAAGCAAATGAAATTTGGTTAAAATTACATGAGATCCAGGATGGCACAAGTAATGTCAGTGAGCAAAAACATTACCTATCAAAACAAAACTATGATTCTTTCAAAATGAATGAAAATGAGCTTATTAGAGATATGTATTCATGTTTGAATCTAATTATCAATGAGCTCAATTCTATAGGATTGACAAAGCTAGAAGATGAAGATATTGTGAGGAAGATCATCTCAGTGCTACCACACAGCAATATGCAAGAATCATCATCATCCTTCACAACATGGAGGACTTGAGCAACATGACCCCGACACTTGTCATTGACAAGTTCGTGTCATTTGAGATGCCATGGAAGATGGGTCAAGAAGAAGCCACTTCATCAACTCCTCCTTTGATGTTGATGAAGAAACAATCAAGCTAATCCAAGGAGTGGAGAAATTGATTCGCAAGTTAAATGTCAAGGGTGTGACAATTCAAATTGAAGATTGCCCATTTACCAACCAAAGAAGAGAGCAAAAAAAGAAAGGATGCTATGGTTGTGGAAAAAAGGGGCACTTTGTGGAAGATTATCCAAACAAGCCTACACCCAAGGCAAAGAAGAAGGCATGTAAAGCTAAAGCCCTCACCACCATCAAGACTTAGGATGATTCTTAAAGTGAAGAAAAAGTCCAACACAAGAGGCATGGCCGCAAACATTCATCATCAAGCTCTTCTCACGTGTGCCTTATGGAACGAGGTAACATCGAAAGCTCTTCCTCTAGTGAGAGTGATAGTGGTGATGATGAAAAAACTTCTTATGAAGAACTTGCTAAACAAGTCCAATTCTTTAATGAAATTTGCATAAAGCAAAGGAATCAATTTAGTGAACTTAAAATCAAGTACACTAACTTAAAAGAAACAAAGATTTGCGACAACATTGCCGATAAAGAGCTCATGCATGTAATTGACAATCTAAGAACTAAGTTAGCTAGCTCACAAGAAGGACATGAAAATTTGCTCATCAAAATGAAAATTCTTGATGAACAAAACAATGAGCTAGCTAGCAAAATTGAAGCTATCGGTAGTACCCCTGAGGCACCTAAAATTAAAGAATCAATTGAAATAATGAAAAAGGAGCCTCTACTTCTTGCAATGATTTATTTAAATTAAACTAGACTTACCTCTTTGAGATCAAGTGTGTTTTAAGAATGTGACTGTAGAAACATGTACACAAGAAGCCTCCAGAAGAATGAGCAACTCAAGTAAGAAGTGGCTCGCTTCACCAAGGACTTGATTCAAGTAAAAGGCAAGGCGAATCAAGCCCAACCTCATCAAGATAACACTGTCAAGGGAGTGAAGAAGCTTGATGAGGAGCAATCATGATTTGCTATATATGCCACAAGAAAGGCCACAAGTCCTATATGTGCAAGATGAAGAATGGAGAGAAAAGAAGAAAAAGAAAAAGAAAAAGAAAAAGAAAAGAAAAAGAAAACAAGCAAGCTCTCCAACACCTACACCAACAAGATGAACAAGAAGGCCACTACACCATCTTTTTGAAGAAGAAGAAATGACAAGGTGGTGGCCATCAAGGTGAACAAGCAAGCCAACACAAGATGGGTCAAACAAGTTTGGGTGGTGCCAAAGGAAATTATTTCAACCATCAAAAGCATCAAGAAGGTTTGGACCCCGAAGGGGAAGTGAGAAGTCCAATGGACTATGGGGATTTTGGGGATTTGGTAGAGTCTGGGTGCATATCATGGGGTGTATCACATTGGATCATGTCATTGACAAGTGGGTTAGTAAATACTATGGACCAAAATTCTCCTTTTCATGATAGGTAACTAGATTTAAATTATAGCAATTCAATTAGCATCTAGTTCCTTTTATACCTAAATTTGCATTTGCATGTTTAAATTCTTGTCATGCATACACTGTGATGAGAACATGGCTCCTCAAATTATTCCAGCTTGCCATACTCCCTTGGCTTCGCAATTTATTAGAGCCAGAGAAGATATAAATTATTTAACCATGCGGTTTGGTGATTTTTCTATTGATATGAAACAAACTAAGATGGCGCAGGCAGCAGAGCTAGAGGTTACTCTTGCATTGCCGAGCAGAACTTTTGTTGGAAATAATTTGCGCAAAAAATTATTGGATGACAGGGCATCAAATATTTTTGTGCAGAAGATTGCGGGGCTGACTTGATGAGCTTTCTGGCCGGATTGGCTTACCATATATGTAGCATGTTTGCCATATTTTAATATTTATTTGTGTCAGACTTGTTTGAGTCAGGTTCGGTTAAGGTTCTGGTCACGTCATCGTTGTTAGCTGGGCCGAGTCAAGTTGTGTCCCTGTGACTGCGTGCACATATATGGCCTAGAGTTGGGTAGTGTTTAGTTCCCAAAATTTTGCAAAATTTTTCAAGATTTTTCGTCACATCGAATCTTTGATGCATGCATGAAGCATTAAATATAAATAAAAAAATAAAACTAATTACACAGTTTAGACGAAATTCATGAGACGATTCTTTTAAACCTAATTAGACTATGATTGGACACTAATTGTCAAATAACAACGAAAGTGCTACAGTACCATTTATCAAAAAATTTCGCCAACTAAACAAGCCCTTGGCCGTGTGAAAAATTAGATTGGATTTTATTTTGTGAGTGTTTAGTCTAGGGTTTCTCCTGTGAACAGCAAGAGGACGTCTCCTCTCATCTACCCTGCCGATCCATCCGGATTGAGAATTGTGTGTGATCAAGTTTCGTCTTGGGCGCATCTTGGATTTCTACGGAATCCCCGTCTTCTGATCGTGGTTCGTCGTGGCTGCGGGTGGAAGAAGTTATCTAGGGTTTGGATTGCATCATCAATTGTAAGCCGATCCCAAATCTATCTTTGCTACTGTTGCTGGTTGGATTCTGAAGTATCATATTACTTTGTGCTGCCGAGATACTTGCTGGTTGTCCTGTTTCTTTTTCGTGGAGATCAGATTACTTGGAATTAATCTATTGCGTTGTTTGCTTCGGTTTTGTGCCGGTCGACATTGCTGCATTAAATTCCGGTCATAGATATCTTTGTTTAATATTCAAGTGTGCTTCCGGGACTGCTGCTATATCTTAATAATTCCAAGTATTATTTATTAGCTGACCGTGGAATTATACTTAAATTGTTGCGTGCTTGGAGAAAATATTCAGAAAAAGCATTGGACTGTTTCTTGTACCGTGAAAGATCAGGCATATTCCTGGACATTATAGGCGTGTCTTTATGACACTAGGTATATCATATGGTATGATTGCTTGGTTTCATTTTTAACCCTTGGAACAAACCTACATAGCTGGTATTATCACACTAGGTATATCATTTCTGATCGTGATCGTATATTCACCGGTGCATTCTGGAAATCCTTTTTCTCCATAGCTGGTACCTCCTTGCATATGAGCACTGCTTACCATCCCTAAATAGACGGCCAAACTGAGCACGTTAACCAATGCCTTGAAACCTACCTTCGCTGTTTTGCTCATGCTTGTCCGTCAAAATGCCCTTGCTAAGTTTTGGTACAATTCTTCCTATCATTCTTCTCTGGGTCGCTCACCCTTCAAAGTTTTATATGGGTTCCCACCTCGGCATTTTGGCCTTGTTCCTCCGGAAGCCACACCTATTACTGATTTGAATAGCTGGCTGGATGAACGCACTGTCATGCATTCCTTGGTCCAACAGCATCTGAGCCGCGCACAAAACCGCATGAAGCGCCAAGCAGACAAGCATCGCTCTCAACGCCAATTCTCAGTGGGAGATTGGGTGTTCCTCAAACTGCAGCCATACGTGCAGTCGTCTTTGGCTCGGCGTGCCAACCTGAAACTGTCCTTTGGTTTCTTTGGCCCCTACAAAATCTTGGCTCGAATTGGTGCGGTCGCCGACAAGCTGGAGCTGCCAACATCTTCCTCCATCCACTCGGTTTTTCATGTGTCGCAGCTTAAGGCGTCGCACGGTAAGCACTCAGTGACTGATGATCTCCCAGATGAGCTTGTTCAGTTGCAGGTTCCACAGGCAATTCTGGATAGGCGCTGGACTTCTGGTACCTCACCTGTTGAAGAAGTTCTGGTGCAGTGGTCACGAATGCCGCCGTCCTTGGCAACCTGGGAGCGGTTGGTGCCCCTGAGCAGTGTTTCCCGCGTGCGCCAGCCTGGGGTCATGCCGGCTCTCAAGGAGAAAGGATTGTCAACACTTCATCTCCTGATGCTCACTCTGAAGATTCACCCAACAAGGGAGCAGGCCCGGCCCGTCCACAAGCGCCGGCCCAACGCCAAGGTCACTGGCCCAGAATGGGAAGCGTAGGAGTATAAGAGCCAGGCTGCGAGAGTAGAGAGACAGGCCTGAATGAACCAACTGTTATTCCTTTTCCATTAAGCACTTTTCTGTATTCGTAATACATTCAGTAATATACATTCAGTTCGTTGTATTTCTGGTCTTCTCGAGCACGGCATCCCCCCGCTCACATATACTTACGTGATATTAGAAGCAACAGGCTCATCATGTAGGTTAATATTTCTCAAAGACTCTTGGTCTTCTATATTCGCTGAGAAATTCGACGTCACTAACCTCTTCTTTTTCCCACTTCTATTAAAATGAAAAAAATGGTTTATTTAAAAGAAGATTGGGAACAGATTGAGTTAATCAAGTCTAAACAAATGCAGTCCTGAAGTTTATGTAAAAATTCATGACCACACCTAAAGATGGATTCAATGGTCTCATCATCAGCATAATTGTCTAGTGAAGTTTTCTCATGTGATATAGTCGGTGAACAATCTTTGGTGTTGGTGTTGTCTGAAGATTCTTGATGGTTTTGTACATTCCCTTCAAAATCTGACGTGGATAACCTCTTCTTTTTTCTACTTCTGTCAACAGAAAAGGAATTGGGTTTAGTCAAATGTGTACGAGGGGTGAGGCAAACGAGAACGTTACAGAATTATTGAGGGTTCACAGCTGGTATCATGGATATTTAAATTGCATGTATTTATGTATATACTACAGCCGAATGTGTTCACCTAATCATGGATCCTAATATCCTATGGTCGCATCATCAGAGTCTGGGTCATGCTGAGCTTCTTGATGCTGTGGTGCACTCAGTGAACTATCCACCAATGGAACTTTCTTATTTTTTGTTCTGCAATAATTAAAAGGCAATGAGCATATCTAAAAAGGAAAAGGAAAGAAAAAACAAAATCAAAACAGCTACATCTATCTGTGGGAGGCTGCCCACCCGAACTAGATTCCAGTTGAACCAGGGTGGCCCCAAAGTCACATGAGTACATCCTAAGGGTTCAGTACACCTCTCTTAGGCAAAGCCATGGCGATGTCTTCTCACCCATAGTTGAGTTTCCTTTATCAGCTGATTAAAATCAAGTGGGTATATTATTACCTGCTTTTAAGTACTTGCAATGTTTCTTCATCGGATGATCTTCCATGACTTGAGTCATCATGGCCATCGCTTGACACATTTAACCTTTTCCTTCTAGCCCTGGAAAAATGCAAGTTAAGGTTTAATAATAAGAAGATTATTTTCCACGACCGCGCAGGAGAACTGTGCAGCATTATATTAGGCCCCGTTTAGATGCAACCCAAAACCCAAAATTTTTCAAGATTCCCCGTCACATCGAAAGGAAAGGCACAATGCATGCTGAGTACTTAAATGTAGACAAAAAAAAACTAATTACAAGGGTTGGCGAGAAATGGCGATGAGAGGCTTAATCTTTTAAGTTTAAATAGTCCATAATTGGACAATTTTTTCATCGGATAAATACAAACAAGAAGGATGTAAAGTTACAAGCCAAAAATTTTCGGAACTAAACACGCCCTTATATTGAGAAAATGGTCCAAGCGGACAAATACAAACCAAAAGGAACCGAAAAAACAAAAGAAACGAGAAATTTTAAGGTGCTTGGAAAAACGTGACCCTTTCATTTATTTAGATCTAGTGGTTAAAAATATAGAGGAACCTAATCAAAGGAACTTAAGTTGGAACTTAAATTTAGTAAGCCAGGAACTGATCTTCACTTTTATTAAAAGGGTATAATGGTATTTTCATTCGGCGCATAACCAGCCTGACCGACGATGACCAGATGGCCGGTGCCGTGATGCCGGATCCCGTCCCGACCGGCGACCATCGATCTCCAACAGCACCGAGGACGAGAGGCATCTCTGGCCCGGACAATTGCTTCCCTGAAGCCATACTTGGCCAGGCTTCTGACTTGTGCATAGGCGATGGCCAGGCTTCTGGAGCTGCAGCTGCAGGATGTCAGGTGTGTGAGGGGCCATGCAGGGTTGCTGCTAGACTACGGGGAACTCCTCTGTTTCACGGAAGGGTAGTGGTGAGCCCTGCAGGCGGCGGCAGTGATTAGAAGGACGGCGGTGAGCCCTTGCAGACCGGCGGCCAACAAGAGGCGGACCAAAGAGGACGACGCTCAAAGATAATAAAAGTAACAATTACTTAAGTACCCTTATTTATAGTAGATTACAATAATTCTTTTCTTTTAAAGATCAATGGTTCAGAAAATATCGGTGAGGAGGAACCGGAGGTTCCGTCCAAGCACCGTAAAAAAAGAAGAAGAAGAAAAATGCACAAGCCAACTCAAACAAACCACACCTAGCAGTCTAGCACAATAACATGCATGATTAGTCTTCCAATAGGCTGGATCAACTCATGCACACGATAGAAAACAAAGTAATGTAGCACCAGCCCTATGAGTTATTATTATCATATATTAACAAGTGATCTGAAATTAGCAGGTCCTCGGTAACAACGGATCAAAATGGTAAATTGAATAACAGAGAAAGAAGCAAGGTAAACAAAACAGAAGAGCAAGTTATTACTTTCAATAGCTGGATTGGAGAACAATGGAAAATCTTGTTCAAGTGAGACGATGTATATCCGTTGACTTCGGCAATATTCAAGTATCAGTTCTTTCCATAGACGCAGTTGCACTTCACGTGTTGCCCTCGATGGCTGCAAACTGAATGAAGGGCAAAAGATAACCTTATGCTGTCAACTAAGTAAAAGCTGACAGCAGCAACATAAACCAAAAAAAAGAAAAAAAAACAACTGTGAAAGTATGAATTACGTGAAGTAAGGAGGGTAGTTGAAGAAGTCTGTAAGGTTGAAATTTCCCAGCTGCTTCATCTTTCGTATCCTATTATTCTCCATCTCTTGGATCAATCGAAGCCACACTCTGAAATAATTGTACACGTTTTACTGTATTATTAGGTGTAAAAACAAGGGATAGAAAGCAACAAGGAGATCAAAACGGTGGTAATTAATCCGATTGATTGATCTTATCTGACTAAGGGGGAGGATCAAACCCGCATTGACAAATAGAAGGTGAGGAGCAGGCACTCACCGAAACGTACCCTTCGTTGATGGTGGAAGCGCGTCGGAGGGGAAAACAAGCTGGAGGCGCTCAGACCCGGTTGTGGGCGGCGGCTATTCTTAGGCGGAGGCGGAGGCGGAGGCGGCGGCCGAGAGCCCGAGTTCGTCGGCTAAATATGCCGTGTATAGTATAGCTGGGCCGGTCAGACGTCAAAACCAAAAGATATCGGTTTCTGAGAATCCGAAAACGACGACGGTAAAGAATCCGAAAATGAAAACGAAAACGAAAACGATTTTAAAAGAATCGGATTCCTGACGATTTTTTCACCGAATTGAATGAGATTACAGAAGCACGGCCAAGATGTGGAATTTCGTTCGTGCCACTAAAAAACTCGTCTTGATAAATATAAGTGGAACCTTTACGAGTAGCAATATTGATATGTGTTGCATTGAGATAGTTTTTTTTTTTCCGAAAGGATGACAAGAGATTTACCACAGTTGTTATTAGACGAGAGAATAATGAAAAGAACAAGATACAAAACACCCAACCAGCCCGACCAAACGCAGAGAACAACTGCATTGAGATAGTAGATAGAATAGTTGTGGTGAGTGATATGTTTCAGGACCATCCCTAGCTAGTAGTTGGTCAGAAATTCCATATTTTCTGTTGAACCACAAAAAGTGATAGCAGTGATTTGTATTTGTCGGAGCCGTAAGTATCAACATGTGTTCTCATTGAGTACATGATTACAAAGATACATTCACCGCTATTGTTGAGAAGGGTCATGCGATCTTGGAGCACCCTGGACATAAGAGACGACCTCTCGACCTGCACTTTGTGCAAGGAACCAAATTGTCAGTCTTGGCTTCAGCTCCAAGAGACTCGTAGAGATCATCTAGCACGCCCAGATTGAGTATCCCTCCGTTCCGAGCTGAGCCTGTTCCTTTGCACTGCGAGCATGCTACAATCCGAAGATCACCACACCTCTTACACATACCTAGTGACCTGCCATGCATTTGAACATTGCTCAGAGCTTCAAGATAAAAGATGAACAGTGGAAAATCAGCTATGTATTTTCTGAACTCGTCTTCTTCTCAGCGTACCCTTTTTTTCAAGGCTTGACCATGGGTTTTGAACATAAGTCATCTCCAAATATGCTACTTACATACATCTTTTTTGGGGGGAGAATTGCACTGAGGGAGATTAGCCTCAGCAGTTTCATCTCCAAATATGCTACTTGCAATAAGATTCGATGTGGCATCCCTCATACAGTAGCAGGCTACCAATTGAGGTTGACTAGAAACTAGATATGGAATCAAAACATTTTAACCAAATTGGGGACATGTACAGTGCAAGATTATTTTCTATGGAAATTGGCCCATCCTTCTAGGCTTTTCCAATTCCCCCAACTATTATATCCTAAGTCATATTCCCTACACTACTCCAAATTGAGATGCTAAACACTAAACAACTGGTTTGGGGCTAATACTAATGAAACAAAACGCAGAGGCAGAAAAATGGGAGGAGGGAAGGGACCTTCTTTGGGAGGAGGCAATGAAGCCGTCGACCTTGGGGGCAGCGATAGTGGCGCCAAGCAGCAGGGCACCCACCACGAAGCCAGCGATCTCGCTGGACGTCAGCCCCTCCATCTCCCCTCCCTCCGCCCTCGCCCTTGCGCGGCCGGCGCTGCACCGTCGAAAGCAATTCCCCTCGCTGGACTGGATATGAAACTTGCAGCTCTACGCTACAAGCTTAGCTGATCTTTGCATTAGCAATGTACAGAAACCAACCTTGTGCACGCCCACCTGCGCCTTCTCGGCTTCTGCACGCCCACTCGCACCGCCGTTCGTTGGACGACGATGGAGAGGATAAGATTGGGCTCTGGGCCTTGTGGGGCTGGAGGTGGGCGGAATAAGGTGCTAACATGGGCTGGCTGGGCCAACATCTAGTGCTGCATTGGTCGCGGTTTCC